TTTCTGAGACAGAGCGTTTTGTCACTCTTTTATCAGAAAAATGTGCCCCATCATGGCAGACTGCTTATCCCTCGTACGAAATAAGCAGTAGCAAACAGCAGTAATCTTCTCAAACAAAATATGTCTGGTAGAGGAAAAGGCGGTAAAGGTCTCGGAAAGGGTGGTGCTAAGCGCCATCGCAAAGTCTTGCGCGACAATATCCAGGGAATCACAAAGCCTGCGATTCGCAGACTTGCTCGTCGTGGTGGTGTGAAGCGTATCTCTGGCCTCATTTACGAGGAGACCAGGGGCGTTCTCAAGGTCTTCCTGGAGAGTGTCATCAAGGATACAGTTACCTACACCGAGCACGCGCGCAGGAAGACTGTAACTGCCCTTGATGTTGTTTATGCTCTGAAGCGTCAGGGCAAGACCCTCTACGGCTTCGGAGGTTAGAGAATTCCATCTGCAAATGGCAAGAACAATACCACGGTGTTATTCAACACCATCTTGGGCTCATATCAGATATTTCTCACTTGAATATTATCATTCGGCCAATATCTATCGTAATCGACCCCTAAAACTGTGTGACCCTGCCCTTGATGTTGTTTATGCTCTGAAACGTCAGGGCAAGACCCTTTACGTCTTTGGAGGTTAGAGATTTCCATCTGCAAATGGCAAGTACAATACCACGGTGCTATTCAGCACCATCTTGGGCTCATGTCAGATATTTCTCACTTGAATATTATCATTCGGCCAATATCTATCGTAATCGACCCCTACAACTATGTGATTCTGACTTGACTTTTAGCGATGCCGAATCTACTATTCTCAATTCAGCCGTAATATTAGAACTGCGGGGGAGAGAGTAGTAAGGGCGTGAGGGGCTCGAATGCAGATCAGGTATATCTTCATACTCAATAATCTGATACTACAATGCCCAGTTTGTTATTTGACGATCTTTCCATCAGTTCTTGCGCAGAAAAATGGCAGCCCCTGAGCTTGCACTTACTTTATCTTCATCGTACCCGAGTAATCTTCGTAATGGCTAGAACTAAGCAAACAGCTAGGAAATCCACCGGTGGCAAGGCTCCTCGCAAGCAGCTCGCTTCCAAGGCAGCTCGCAAGTCCACTCCAAGCACT